GATTCCATTCCTGCTCTCAGATAATGATGCTTATGTATCTTATAGAGTTCCTTTGCTTTAGCAGCGTCCAGAATTAGATCTAAGGGGCTGTTTACCTGATTAAATCTGTTTTAGCCTTTTTATTAGCACGATTTGTAGTCAACTTTATCCGATTCTAATGGTAGTCATTTCTATTATTGCTATGGTGTCGTTTGTATTTTGTAATGGCCAATGGCTTAATACAATAAATTTACTTGTACTTGTACTAATATACACATGCAGTGTTTATGTAACTGTCAAAAACACTGAATGTGAATTCTCAGTAACTGTAAACAACAACAGTCCTGTGATGTAGGCCAGCGGAAATATATACGTGGATTCCCAATGAGCTCTTAACCGAGGGGTCCAACCAAAGTGTCCTGAGTGAACTTACTAGTGATTGGGATAAGAGTGTGGGGCCCTCTTAGAAGCACATAGAGCTGAAAGGTACCCCCAAGGATCATCTAGTCCACCCCCCTGCACAAGTCATGACCCAGATCAGTAAGTGATTAAAAAACCAAAAAAAAAATGAGGGAAGGAATAAACGAACAGTTGTCATGATGATGGGGAAGGAAGCAGTTGGGCCCCACAGAGTTCTGTATTCAAACTAGTGCTGCTTAATTTAAATATTCATAAACTGTCTTGGCTCAAGTAGCCAACTTTGCAGAAGATGCCACATCATGTAGATTAGAGAGAACACAAGCCAGTGAGGGTGCTTTTTGAAGATTTCCTCCAAAATGAGTGGAGCTGTGGCTCATTGGCAGAACATCTGCTTGGCATGGAGAAGGTCCCAGGTTCAATCCCCGGCATCTGCAGTTAAAAGGACCAGGCAGGAGGGGATGTGAAACACTTCAGCCTGAGACCCTGGAGAGCCATGAAGTGGGGCTGTGGCTCAGTGGAAGAGTGTCTGCTTTGAATGCAGAAGGTTCCAGGTTCAGTCCCCGGCATCACCAGTTAAAGGGACCAGGCAGGAGGTGATGTGAAAGACCTCCGCCTGAGACGCAGGAGAGCCATGAAGTGGGGCTGTGGCTCAGTGGTAGAGCCTTTGCTTGACATGCAGAAGGCCCCAGGTTCAATCCCCGGCATCACCAGTTAAAAGGACCAGGCAGGAGGGGATGGGAAAGACCTCCGCCTGAGACCCTGGAGAGCCGCTGCCCATCTGAGTAGACATGACTGACTTTGATGGACCAAGGGTCTGATTCAGTATAAGGCAGCTTCATGTGTTTTCATAAGTGACAAATGGGATTAATTTGGTCTATGGGCTGAACTGGGCAGTCTGAATTGGCTACAGTTAGCCAAGAAAGAGATCTCAGGGTCACGCCAAATAGCTCGATAAGAACAGCGCGTGTGAGACCGCATTTTAAAAAGGGCAAAACCCGTCTTAGAGGTTATTAAGAACTGGACTGCAAGTCAGATGACCAGCATCCTTGCGGTTCCTTTGGGTTTTGAATCTGGAATGCAGTTCTGCTGTATCACACACACACACACACACACACACACACACACACACACACGCCCCCCAAGGGTGGCGTAGAGCTTGAAAAAGGGCATTGAAAATTGTGAAAGGCATTGACACATCTTCCCTGCCAGGGGGAAATGAAAGTCTCTATAAATTGCTTAATCTAGGGAAGAAATGCAACCAAGGATGTGCGTAGAATATAGGTTCGTAAAAGTGTGAATGGTGCCAGGGAAATTGAGGCATTTTGTCTACCTCCCTCATGGGACTCAGGGTCACCTAATAAAATGGATCGGCAGTAGGTTCAGGACGGATATGAGAGAGAGAGAGAGAGAGAAAGCTTCTTTGCCTGGTGCGTAATTAAGTTGTGTAAATCACAGCTGGGGAGGCAGCTTAAATGGTTCTGAAGGGGAAACGTACAACTTTCTGAAGGACGAACCTACCAACAGCTCTTAGGCATGGCAACTCCGGAGCTCCCTGGTCCCAGGGCAGAGGCCTTCAGCGACCACGGCAGGGCGTTAGGTGGGCTCTTCCGTCCACGCCTTCGTTGCAAGTTCGAGATGTAAAATTTCCAGAAATTGTGAAGCTCAGAAAAAAACCCTTTTTTTTTCGGGGGGAAACTGAAATTTTCGGAAAAATTGAAAAAATGCTACATTAGCATTTCTTTTGTCTTTTCTAGATTGAAAGTCATTCTGTTACTTTAGGAACATAAAATATGACTATGGACATTTTTACTTGGCATGAAATTATCACAACTAGCGTATTAAAAATATAGTGTATCCAAACAATTATTACAAACAGAATACCCACCCACGTGCAAAAACAAAACTGAAACCTTTTTATTTTCTTCTGACAATAGCACCTCCTAAAGGAAGAAATGCATCTTGTTCTTGCATTGGAGAGTTCAGTTTGTAACCTAGGACTTGCTTGTCCTCCGTGCACAGAAATTAGATCAATCTGACACCATACATATTTTTTAGAAATGATTTGGAAAATATTTGAACACCTTGTCTTAAAATATTTTATTCATAATGTTAAAATAAAACGTTCCATAATCAATTTTTTTTCTTTTTTCAATTTTTCCAATTTTCCGGGGGGAAAAACAAAAACAAAAAAAAGATTTTTTTCAGAATTTTTCCGGGTTTTTTCCGGGCCTTCACATCTCTAGTTCAAGATACTTCTCACCGGCTGCTGTTGGGCTGGGTCAACGGCCCACTCGGCCTGACCCAGGAGGGCTTTCCTTGTACTATCGGTGTTATTCTCTTGGCCCGGTCCACGTGCCAAGGCCGCGTGGTAGTGGCCAAGGAGTTCTGTCGCCGAGGCGACGTTCTGAGCGGGGGACCTGCTGCGTTACACCGCAGGCTGTCAGCCGGCACGCTGCCACAGCTCTCCAAACCAGCAGCGCTTTGTGTGTTAACGACCAGTGCTCCCCCTAAGCTGTGGAGTCTTCTGAGCAAAAATTCTGCTTGGTGAGCTCCTGGCATTAAAGTTGTGAGTGAGCGATTTGGCCGCTGCATCAATTAGTCGGCTCTGGAGCCCTCCTTCCTGAGCCAAGACAAAAATGTGTGAACCGGAGGCTAAACTACTGTGAGCTAGTTCACACTAACTCAGCTCAGAGGGAACACTGGTTACGGCCAGCACGGTTGAAATGGTCTCTCCAGAACCAGGAAGTAATTCACATGCCCCCTAAAGGCAAGTAAAATAGGGGGAGTCTGATCGGAGCTTGTGGGAATTTGATTTACAGTCGTGGCGTTTTAGCCCCTTGCGCGACAAATGGCTCTTCCTGATACCCGTCTTTCCTCTTTCTTCCTCTTCCCCCTCCCCTTAAAGCAAGTGACCAGCAATGGAACTGCCGGGGGAGGCGAAGGCGTCGTGGAGACCCAGCAGCAGAATCAGCCCCCGCAGCCGGCGCCCAACGCCTGGCAGGTCATCAAAGGAGTCTTGTTCAGGTATGATCTTGAACGTCCCTGAGCTGTTGTCATTGTAGGCTTTTGTGTATGTGTTGCAAACAAACACAGCTTGGTGGGAAGAGGGTGTATGTGTGTGTAAGAGAGAGAGAGAGTTGGTGTTTCCCCATCACAGTCGCCCTGTAGAAGTCACCTTCAGGGTTTACATACCATGAAATTGTGTTTTGAGGAAAGCGGTGACACCCACCGTAACTCTGCTAGAGCTAATAGCGGTATCCAGCATTCATACAGGTCTCCAGCGTGTTCAGAGCACTTCATAAGAACTTAGGAAGAGCCCTGCTGGATCAGATCGGTGGTCTTTCTGGTCCAGCATCATGTCTCATACAGTGGCCAGCCAGTTCCTCTGGAGGGCCAACAACAGGGTTTAGAGGCTGAAGCCTTCATAGGAACATCAGAAGAGCCTTGCTGGATCAGACCAGTGGTCTGTCTGGTCCAGCATCCTGTCTCACACGGTGGCCAACCAGTTCCTCTGGAGGGCCGACAACAGGGCAGAGAGGCTGAGGCCTTCATAAGAACAAGAAGAGCCCTGCTGGATCAGACCGGTGGTCCATCTAGTCCAGCATCTTGTCTCAGACAGTGGCCAACCAGTTCCTCTGGAGGGCCAACAACTAGGGCATAGAGCCCTGCTGGATCAGGCCAGTGGTCCATCAAACTCAGCACCCTGCCTCACACAGTGGCCAACCAGTTCCTCTGGAGGGCCAACAACAGGGCACAGAGGCTGAGGTCTTCATAAGAACATCAGAAGAGCCCTGCTGGATCAGACCAGTGGTCCCTCTAGTCCAGCATCCTGCCTCACACAGTGGCCAACCAGTTTCCCTGGAAGGCCAACAACAGGGCACAGAGGCTGAGGCCTTCATAAGAACATCAGAAGAGCCCTGCTGGATCAGACCAGTGGTCCCTCTAGTCCAGCATCCTGTCTGACACAGTAGCCAGTCAGTTCCTCCGGAGGGCCAACAGCAGGGCACAGAGGCCGAGGCCTTCATAAGAACACCAGAAGAGCCCTGCTGGATCAGACCAGTGGCCCATCCAGTCCAACCTCCTCTCCCACACAGTAGCCAACCAGTTCCTCTGGAGGGCCAACAACTAGGGCATAGAGGCCCCTGGTGTTGCCTCCTGGCTCTGGGATTAAAAGGCTTAGTGCCTCTGAAAGTGGAGGTTCCCCTCAGTCAACATGGATAGTAGCCACTGATACACTTATTCTCCATGAATCTATCTAATGGGCTTGGGGTTTCTCACACCAGTACTGTAAGAGAGAAGAGCGGCTCACAATCTCCTTTCCCTTCCCCACCCCACAACAGACACCCTGTGAGATAGGTGGGGCTGAGAGCTCTTTTGAGAACTGCTGGTGAGAGAACAGCTTTGAGGGAATTTGTGACTAACCCAAGGTTACACCAGCAGCTGCACATGGAGGAGTTTGGGATTCAAACCTTGGTCTCCCAGATTACAGAACGTGCTCCTAACCACTACCCCAAAAGGTAAGCTGGCATTATCATATCCCTCTATTGGGGGGCTGGGAGACACATGAACGTGCATGAAACTGCCTTATACTGAATTCAGACCCTTGGTCTGTCAAAGTCAGTCTTGTCTACTCAGACTGGCAGCCGCTCTCCAGGGTCTCAGGGGGAGGTCTTTCCCATCCCCTCCTGGTATTCGGTTGAGGACAGCGCCGGGACAGTGTGACACTTGGCACTCTCACATACTCCCTCCCTCTGAGGAGGCTGGGGAACTGAATTTCTTTTTCCCGCCATCTTGGAATGCATATTTTTTTGTTCATTGACATGTTTTTAGGTAATGTTTAACATTGATTTGAAATCAAATCACTTATCATATTTTGCTCTGTCGTAAGCTGCCCTGAGCCCTGCTTGCCGGGAAGGACAGCCTAGCGATTCCAGTTTAATAAAGAAATAATGGTGGCAGAAGGGAACCTCCAAGTTCAGATGCAGTCAACCTCCAGATCCCAGAGCCAGGAGGTAACGTCAGGGGAAGGCCTCGACCCCTGTGCCCTGTTGTTGGCCCTCCAGGGGAACTGGCTGGCCCCTGTGTGAGACAGGATGCTGGACTAGACGGACCACTGCTCTGATCCAGCAGGGCTCTTCGGATGTTCTTATGAAGGCCTCCGCCTCTCTGCCCTGTTGTTGGCCCTCCAGGGGAACTGGCTGGCCCCTGTGTGAGACAGGATGCTGGACTAGACGGACCACTGCTCTGATCCAGCAGGGCTCTTCGGATGTTCTTATGAAGGCCTCCGCCTCTCTGCCCTGTTGTTGGCCCTCCAGGGGAACTGGCTGGCCCCTGTGTGAGACAGGATGCTGGACTAGACGGACCACTGCTCTGATCCAGCAGGGCTCTTCGGATGTTCTTATGAAGGCCTCCGCCTCTCTGCCCTGTTGTTGGCCCTCCAGGGGAACTGGCTGGCCCCTGTGTGAGACAGGATGCTGGACTAGACGGACCACTGCTCTGATCCAGCAGGGCTCTTCGGATGTTCTTATGAAGGCCTCCGCCTCTCTGCCCTGTTGTTGGCCCTCCAGGGGAACTGGCTGGCCCCTGTGTGAGACAGGATGCTGGACTAGACGGACCACTGCTCTGATCCAGCAGGGCTCTTCGGATGTTCTTATGAAGGCCTCCGCCTCTCTGCCCTGTTGTTGGCCCTCCAGGGGAACTGGCTGGCCCCTGTGTGAGACAGGATGCTGGACTAGACGGACCACTGCTCTGATCCAGCAGGGCTCTTCGGATGTTCTTATGAAGGCCTCCGCCTCTCTGCCCTGTTGTTGGCCCTCCAGGGGAACTGGCTGGCCCCTGTGTGAGACAGGATGCTGGACTAGACGGACCACTGCTCTGATCCAGCAGGGCTCTTCGGATGTTCTTATGAAGGCCTCCGCCTCTCTGCCCTGTTGTTGGCCCTCCAGGGGAACTGGCTGGCCCCTGTGTGAGACAGGATGCTGGACTAGACGGACCACTGCTCTGATCCAGCAGGGCTCTTCGGATGTTCTTATGAAGGCCTCCGCCTCTCTGCCCTGTTGTTGGCCCTCCAGGGGAACTGGCTGGCCCCTGTGTGAGACAGGATGCTGGACTAGACGGACCACTGCTCTGATCCAGCAGGGCTCTTCGGATGTTCTTATGAAGGCCTCCGCCTCTCTGCCCTGTTGTTGGCCCTCCAGGGGAACTGGCTGGCCCCTGTGTGAGACAGGATGCTGGACTAGACGGACCACTGCTCTGATCCAGCAGGGCTCTTCGGATGTTCTTATGAAGGCCTCCGCCTCTCTGCCCTGTTGTTGGCCCTCCAGGGGAACTGGCTGGCCCCTGTGTGAGACAGGATGCTGGACTAGACGGACCACTGCTCTGATCCAGCAGGGCTCTTCGGATGTTCTTATGAAGGCCTCCGCCTCTCTGCCCTGTTGTTGGCCCTCCAGGGGAACTGGCTGGCCCCTGTGTGAGACAGGATGCTGGACCAGAGGGACCCCTCGTCTGATCCAGCAGGGCTAATGTTCTTAGTTTCTTAAGTCATGCGGCGCCAAATGCAGAGAATGCACGAGGCTGAAATCACCCTGTGACCAGCTGCGTTCGGTAAGGGATCCCACTGAGCAGCCAGACCTTTTAAAGGGCATGATGGACAATTTTGCTTGCTTATTCTCGGCATATATTTTTTTTAACCAAATTGCTCGGATATCTGGGGCCTTTAATACTGCCATTAGAGCCAGCTCTTTAGATGTCCCTTGGAAATCTGATATTTTTGGTTTATGGGCAGCAGGTGGCGAAGTTACTGAGAGAAATGGCCTGTTCTTTGACTGTTGCTTGATGCATTGCTCGACGAAGAGGCTGACGTTCCCGAAACTCGATGCGAAGGGAGCGGAAAGCTGCACCCAAAAATATATGAACCCTGTAAAAGAATCAAAAGCCCCAGCATGAGTCCTTTGGGGGAATGTTTACTACCCAGTGTAGCTACATGGAAATAGCACTCCAAAGAAGGGATCGTTGGCTTAGATTCCGAATGTCACGTTTTCCTCTTTGAAGTGCCTCATCATCTAATTATGTCGGTAGCAAATATTCTCTCAAAGAAGAGGAAATTTGAAGGCTCTGTTGGATAATTAGCAAATAAAGTTTTACTAGAAGTAATACATGTAAGTAATACGAGAGCCAGTTTGGTGTAGTGGTTAAAAATATGGACTCTAATCTGGGAGGACCGTGTTTGATTCCCCACTCCTCCACATGCAGCTGCTGGGGTGACCTTGGGTCAGTCACAAGTTCTCTCAGAGCTGTTCTCCAAAGGGCAGTTCTCGCGAGAGCTCTCTCAGCCCCACCTACCTCACAGGGTGCCTGTTGTGGGGAGGAGAAGAGAAAGGTAGTGAAGGGCGGGGTATAACTCCAGTCTCCTCCTCCTCCCCTTGGTAATATTCCTTTGTTCCACATCATCATAGACCAGGGGTGGCCAGACTGGCTCCCTGTAAGAGCCACATAGACTAAACGTCATATGTTTGAGAGCCGCAAGACATGAACAAATATTACACAGTTTTAAATTTAAAAATATGCAAATTTGCTTTTTCTTAACATTAAACGAGACTCCCAAAAATAAAAAACCAAAGGGGTAAAAAACAGATATTGCTAATGATATTTATTTGTCCAATGATATTTATTTGTTTGCTAATGATATTTATTTGTCTAAAAGAGAAAGAAGAAGGGAGAGAAGTGGAAAGAATGAATGAAAGAGGTGGAAAGAAAGAGAAAGAGAGAGAAACAAAGAATGCAAATAGATGGGAGGGAGGGAGAAAAAGCATGCCTCCACTTCATTTCCCCAGCTGCCCTGCTGGGAGCCGCACAATATGTGTGAAAGAGCCGCATGTGGTTCCCGAGCCACAGTTTGGCCACCCCTGTCATGGACTCATAAGAGTTGGGAAGGTGTCATAGAGGCCATCTAGCCCCACCCCCTGCTCAGTGCAGGATCAGCCTAGAGTTTGTCCTGACAAGTGTTTGTCCAGCTGCTGCTTGAA